TTCATATCTGCTTCTATTATCCGACGCAATGTGTTCTTTGGCCTTCCTCTTTTTCGCTTCCCTTCAGGATTCCAAGTTAGGGCTTGCCTCGTGATGCAGTTTGACGATTTGCGTGATGTATGTCCTATCCATTTCCATCGTCTTTTCCTAATTTCTTCTTCAACTGGAAGTTGGTTTGTTCTCTCCCACAGAAGGCTGTTGCTGATGGTATCCGGCCAATGGATGTTGAGTATCTTGCGAAGACAGCTATTTATAAATACTTGTACTTTCTTGATTGTGGTTGTTGTAGTTCTCGAAGTTTCAGCTCCATACAGTAGAACTGCCTTGACATTCGTATTGAAGATTCTCACTTTGATATTGGTTGAAAGTTGCTTTGAGTTCCATATGTTCTTCAATTGTAGGAATGCGACCCTTGCTTTGCCGATCCTCGCCTTTACGTCTGCATCTGAGCCTCCTTGTTCATCGATGATGCTTCCCAGATATATGAAGGATTCTACATCTGCCAATCCCAAGTTATAATAATATTTCGGCTGGTATTAATTTCATCTAGAACCCTCTCAACCAAATTTTGTGTTGTGTAGACATTTTGTTAAAAACATCACTAATTCAACATTTTAAATAATTTTACTAAAATAAACTATTGTGTTAGATATCCTGACTAGTTCATTGATGATTATATTGTATATCCAACATACTACAAGGGTATATATATTAAAAAATATCAAATGTTTGCTATTAATTTGCTTATGATCCATAATTAATACTCAGTGCGTATGTGACATTATGCTTACTAATTAGGTGAAATTTAATACAAAATATGAATAATTTCTGTTATAGTAAGATTATTGTTAAGTATTAGGTCGGAATAGTTAAACTCCTGAATGTAGTTTGAATGTGTTAATTGCAAATATTATTTGATTGTAACAGTTTTTGTACTTGATTATCTTACTCCACTAAAAATTTTGTTTAAAAGATTAGTTTGAATGTAATATTATTTGTATTTAGCTAGTTGAAGATAATCTGACTGAATAAATTAAAATGTACATATCACCCGTAAAACAATTTTAATGTCCTATCTTGTAGGGTTTCAATTCCCTCTCATTGTTTCTTTTGATGCAACACTGTGTTATTTCTCCGATGTTTACTTGTGTTATAATGTTCAGATAGGTAATAACTTCAACTGATGAACTCTTATATGAGATTACATGTCTGTCAGTAACTTGATCTTAATCATAAACTAAAGTTGTTGGTATAATATATGATTTCTAAAAATTACTTAAATATATTTATATTGTCTTCACTGAAGGAAGTCCGTTCTGTACCATTTTATGCGTTACTGTAAGCTTCACTAATGTTTTCCGCTATCGCATACAACAATGCCCATGGCACGCACGTATTAATTTCCTACAAATATTTTTTTACAATTCTAAATTGTTTGATGTGTGAAACTTCCGTTGAGGTATATCTGGCAAATTAGCTTATCGTAAAATATATACTTAACTGTTGAATAAAACTCACAAATACTTTTGTAATTTAATCTCTTTTATCGAATTTCTCAATTGTGGTTATGTGCTATTAATTCCCTGAATTTTACTTTTATATTAAATTGCAAAGGTGACAGCATTTATTTACACACTTGATTTACAATTTGTGCTACTCATAGTGGTTTACGAAGGTTATGATGAATGCGAAGTTAAACATTAAATCAATCTTGTAATAATTTTTATAAATTAATACATTGTCCATTTCACATAAACTATAACTGACTTGAGATCACTTACTTTATCATGTTGAGCATTATTGTCAGTTTATAACTTTTTCGTTTTCGTTTTTTTGTTTATAAACTGAAATTATTGTGAAGTTAATTGTTTTTAAGTCTGTTTCATCGGATCGAAACTTAATGTCCTATTGTAAGTATATGGCTATGGAGATTGTCGGGTTTAATAAAAAAATATGAACCGATCAATGTAAGACCAACATTTAAAACCTGAAAGCACTAGAGTGCTACTTCGACTTAGTACGGGACTGTTCAACCTTGCGCATCCACTATTCTGCACACAGGAATCGAGTCCAGGGCATTCAGTTTTGCGCGCGAACATGGTGGCAGCGCAATTTCATGGATTGATTGAAGTTAGAGATTATTACCTTTGGATCCCGGCTCAATGGTTTAGAGGTCAAGCATCCTCACGCGAGACTAAATGTCCTGAGTTCTACTCCAACATGAGGGGTCGTGAATGCTGACTGTTGAAGAGTCCCATACTAGGACGGAACGGTCCTTCAATGCTTCCAGGTCCTAAATGTTTGTCTTACATAGATCGATCCATAGTTTTAATGTCTAACATTTGTTAAAAAAATCATATACTTGAGGGTCCCTGAATAACAAGGTAACCTATAGTCAAGACATATCACTTGATTTAAAGTTCACGAATGCCGTTAGTTTTATTTTTCTCTCTAGAAAGTACCACTGTTGGGAGTATTATCCATATGCATAACAACTTATCTGATATGATAATTCTTTCTTTAGGTCGTTGGTTTCGTTTATTTTAGTTCACACATTTGAAAAGTCATGCTCAATTTTCATGATATTCACAAAAATATTTCTAATTTTGTTTTTTTCCGATGATCCATGTAGATTGGTAACAAATAGTTAGTCAAACTCTTGTTGAGTTAATTCAAGTTTATATTTATTTGGACTGCCCTTTTTTGTATCTGTTCACTTAAACAAACTATATATATATATATATATATATATATGACCTTAAATTTACCATGACCTCAAATGACATTCAGATTTTAAACAATGAAAGGTTAGTTTTAAAATCGGGCATTTTATTAATTCGCTCTTTTGAATATTAGACTAGAATATTGAATTTGTGGTTAGTATATGGGGTGCAAATCGATTCGAAATGGATTTTGTGTTATATTGGAGTACCTGATTGTTTTTAGTTAAATGGTATAGAATATGCATTTTTATTTCGTATTACTATAACAGACCAATACAACATCGCGATCTCTATGGGGTATTTTGTGATATGAGCTGAAAAAGGGATCGGGAATGTCTATGTCATAATGGTGTTGCAATGAATTCAGTAGTTGTATGCTGTATGGCTGTAAGTGTTAGTGGGTTTAACTATTAGACCAAAAACAGTCATTCCCAACTTCTGTATTCAAAAATGCAAGGCAAAACTTCTTTTATGAATGGCAATTTCGATAAATACTAAGACAGATTTTGTTTAACCGACTGACTGACTTAGCTGTATGGATCTAACTCAAAGTTTAATCTTTAAGCTATGACGAAATAACTACCTAGCGTACAAGCTAAGAAGTTTTACTAGAATTGAGAACATTTTTGTTTGGTTTTATCATCTAATACATCGGCTTTCATGTTTCAACTGAGATAAGTTTCCAGTAATTAGTGTTTAAGCATCAGAGTTAATTTATTTGAGTTGATCAGTATATGTGTAGTGCACGAGAATTCAGACAGAGAAAAAGCAATTTATTGTTTAACGCAAAATCACAGAGTGCTTTGGTAAAATATGAAAACCACACATTCAATACATTATTTACACATCTTCCGTTAGTTGTCCTTTGCAAGCTTCATGATTCTTTCAATTCTATTTTTATTATAATTACTCGCTGTTTCCTTTCCTTCTGGCATGTATTCCACATCTGATTGCTATTGCATACTACTTATATCTGTTAGTATAAGTAGTATTCATCACATATTTTTGTTAGATATGATAATACAGCCTACAAAAGGTACTGAGTAATGTAGGAAATCCGTGTACTGAATTTTATTGCTTTTCATTACCCGATGCTACTTTATTGAAAATTGTTTACACGTGTGAATGCTTCGACATTAGGATGTATCCTCAATAACCTTGCAAGGAACTAATCTATACAACAAATTCAATTAAAGCAAAAGTTAATGAATTGACAAAAAATTCTGTTATATTGAAATGTTAAGAAAAGCTTATTCATATGTCCCACGTGGTTTTCATAGGCCAAACAAATAACAGTCGAGTTAATCAGACTTTGTCATTAAATAGCAGTAAATAGATAAAAGATGATCATACTTTTAAAACTTCTGTCTTGCAATCCAAAAATATAATAACTGACGTTTACCATTTTGACTTTTCGTGTATGCGTTTACATCATGTTTCATAATAAAGTAGTGACCACATTAGCAAAGGCAGTAAAATAATTCAAATTTGTGAATCATATGAAAGTTCCAACCTTCTTGTCTCATCAAAGACACTCATTCACCTGTAACCATTTGTAAAACAAATACTTTTATTGCTTTTAGGAAGACTTTACTGATTCCTATTTATTCCTAAGTATGTAGATTCTCGAAAAGAACATATCACAATACTTAGGCCTCTTCTCAAGATATTGATAAAACTTTGTTATATTTTAAAGTAATCAAAGTTAAACCATATCAAAAAAGGGTTGGAAGCAAATTAAAGTATAGATGAATTTCTCCTTTAAATTAAGTCTTTTTGTCTAGTTTCTGGTTGTTTGACTTTTTCTTCTAATTTCAAATGAATCAGTTAGCTTATCAATCGCTTGAACAATAATTTTCAGTGTTAGCAGTAGAATACGGAACATTTTGATTTCGCAGTTTATATAGATAAAGTTAATTTAAATGCATCCACTCTTTGTAATCAAGTGTTTCCAATCAATGATCTCATCACACTGAGTATTTTCTGATATATTAACAGTAACCGTTGTGTTTTAAGATGTTATTCTTTGTTGTTGTATATGATAACTGGTTTATAAGCTTTGAAAGTAATCTTGAACAAATGTTTCATACTCTGTAAATATTGATGTGTTGATGTCGTTGCTATTTGTCATGTACATACATGAAATTATGTTGCTAAACCATATGTCTTCAGTGTTTCCATATGTTGTAATTTTACTTTAAATATTTATTTGTATTTGCCAGCATGTTAAATAAATTTCAAATAAGTCCCATCTGTTTTGATGTTATTTATTTGCAGATCGAGTAGGCTATATTGGTGCACGTCGACACAGTGGTAAGTTGGATTTTTTTAAAAAGAATTTTGTCTTGTCCGTATTCACTTTTTCTGAAACACGACTATCTTAATGACCCTAATTAGACTTTCGCCATCTTGATTAGTATACCTTCTAGATGACGTCTATCACCTAAAAACATTATATCATGGTTTTAACAACAGCTGAAGTAGTTGGGTTTTATGAACTAATGTAGTACATGCCAGCGTAACACGATTAAAATACCGAGATATCTGATGGTTAGTTGCTATTTTACTAAAGTACCACATCAGCAAATTGCTCATTCAAATTTGGAAGATTTCAGGGGATAAAATCACTGACAAGCTAGTTGAAAACTAAACTTTTCATTATTATGAAATTATTCAACCAAGATGAGAATATTTTATTAATATTTCATCAATTCATGAATAATCGTTCAATCAAATATAAGAACTTATGAATCAATAATTTTGATTGTCATATGTTAGTTCATGTTTAACATCTCTTAATCAAGTTATGAAACCAAACTTTATCTGCCTATATATATATATGTAAGGGGAGTAAGTATAAACAGTGGACTTCTATGTTTGTTAAAATAAATCGCAACCAAAGTTAGGATTTTGATCTGTTGTATACTTTCTTGTTGTCTAGCCTTGAAGTACTGTATGCCTCAGAGGTTAATCGTCATTGAGGATGCCTATACTATGGAGGGAATCCCATCCTGTTCTAAAACGTTTTATAAGGCATTGTAAATTTTTCGGTAATTTTTTTATTTGTTAGTATTTATTTCATTTAAAATATATTTCATGTGTAAAAGTTGATTGAATTCTTCAACATACAGAACAAGAATAACGAACATTGTGAAGTGAAGTGAATTCATTTCATGTGCTCTAAGTCAACTAAATAAATGAAATGTTTTACAATTGTAATTTTACATGTATCATTTCGTTCATTTTGGTCCATTTAGTTCACTATTGAAAAGAAATAATTGTAAATACCTCCTATATTCACTTTTGCTTTACAAAAGTTTATCAAGGGGACTAATTTCATTGGACATCTACTTTGATAAATTTAACTTGCGTAGGACAACTTATTTTCGTTTTAAAACTCATAAATCAAATTATGGTTATTAGGCATCTTATAAAATAGACTTTGTGATACAACTTACCTAGTTGTTATATGTCTCAAATAAGTATTGTCTTATAAGTTGGTGGTTGAAGTTAGCCTACAGAATACCCTGGACCTAAGTTTCGTGCTGTTGACACTCGTCAGCAACATGTACATGTAATCTTGAGGGAATTGTTGCTCCTTGGCGGATTCGACCCCTCGTCACCTAGACTTTGATCAACACTAAGAAGGACTTGACATATCTGACATTGGTCCCTACTCGGTGATCAGTCAATTATAAACTATCTCTTGTAAAAGACTTCATTGTTTCCTATATTATTTATTTTAAATCCTAAACTGTATTCATCAAATGTTATTTAGCTTCACCATCGTTGTTGGTTTATTCAACTAAATTTTCTGTTTATCAATTTTTATTTCATTTTTACTAATCAAATGAGAAAAGTACTTTTCAAAAGATCATGAAAATAAAGGTCACATATGAAAATAATCTTTCCATTGTCTTTTATGAGTAGTTTAAAGTGAAAAAAAGAAAGTTCATTTTTATCTTATTCAAAATTGAAGTAATGTAATGTAATATATATATATATATATATATATATATATATATATATATATATATATATATATATATATATATATAGTACCGAATGTTTATATATATATTTTCGCGTCTCAATGATTCTCAATAAAGATAACGAAACGAAATCCAGTACTAAACTCAGTGTTTGTTCCAAAAAACCGAACAAGAGAGAGAGATAGTGAACTACTTTGAACAACGCAATTACTAAACATCTCTTGGATACAGGACATCAGGTTGATACCATGGAATCTTTCAAGGTAGTAAATAAACAGTCAGGCTCCAGTTTTTTGAAGTTTGCTAAAGCAATCGCTATAAGGAGTCAAAAACTTGATTTATGTGTTCTAAAGGAGATGGTTGTTAATCTTTCCTTACCTTGGTGATAAATATTAGTTCTTTACATCATGTAGATTTTGTTCAACTCTTCCCTTCAAATAATTACATCAGTACGTCTTTTTATTTCGACTGTCTTCTAGATTGGCAATCTTATTTCAAGTAACTGGGCTTTACGCATTTTATTCTTATGATCAGCATTTACTCATTACCTAACCACTTGTTTCTAGCACTTTAGATCTTTGTCAGCATCAGTGTTGTATATAAAGTATATATTTACAATATTTTTTCAGTCTATCTAATTTATTGACACCATTACTATACTATACTGATATATCTTGAAAGTAGCTTCCAGCTAAGCTCTTTCTTGTAAGTAATTTAAGCCCATTTTGTAATTATGATTTATAAATATTACAGGTTGTAAACATATAACAAGAACCAAAGTAAATTTAATGAATTCATACTATTCTGCTCAAATCTTTGTTCTTGCTCTCTTCAAGATTGTAAAGAGAACTATGTATAAGAATGAAAAATCCAGTATTGTTGAAAAACATTTACAAGCAAAAAAAGAATGGGATAAGATTGATATAAATAGTGTACTGCTTATTTTAGAAACGAAAATTGAGTGAAAAAATAGACTAATTCAAAAAATTTCCTTAATGATGAATAATATATTTAATCTAAAGTATGATCTACAAATTTATAGTTTAAATTCGTAGCCCAGTAGATAATACCCGTAGCTTCAATATATTGAATCTCATTGATTACTGTATCAAAATAGAAATACGGTTACATTTAGCTGCTTAGCTTCATATAGAAAAAAAGAAGAATCACTACATAATGACATATTTGTCTGACTTTAGATAAATCATATTGGGGTTTGTTTATGCTTGACCTTTTTTCTGTAATTTAATAGTGACAGTAAACAAATCAATTTACAAAATATGTTTGTACAAATACTCTGTTGAAAGTAGATGTCTGACCAGTCAATTTCAACTTGACGTAAATATAAAATGAAGTCTCATGTTATAATTATAATTTTTCAAATAAAAACACCCAGAAACTTTTTATCTAATGTAAATCATGAATGAAATTTTCATTTTAAAAACAATGTTGTTAGATTGAAAGAAAAGCTAACAACATTCAATGAGATATGAACAAAAAATCAATAAATATAATAAACTTATTAAAATGAAAGTAGGTTTGATTTATTCTAAAAGAGATCAACACCCTGATCATTAAATTTGTTTAATTTATTAACAAAAATCTCATTGCATAATAACATATAATATTAGTTTTTGATTAATCTGCTAGTCTATACATTTTACCAACTAGGCCACTACTACTACTATCTACAGATATATTTTTAATTTAATGGATTAAATCCCATTAATTTGGGCAATAAACTTTTCTATTAATTACATTGAGATTTTTAAGTCAATATTTCTATTTTATCAGTATAGGGATTGTGGAGATTATTAAGATTTTGATTGAGATCATGAACCGATTGATGTTAGACCACCGTTGGAAACCTGGAAGCACTGAACGGCCGTTTCGTCCTATTGTGGGCCTCCTCAGCAGTGCGCATCCACGATCCCGCTCATGGGATTCAAACTCAGGGCTTTCAGTCTCGCGCTCGAACGCTTAACTTACTGGACCACTTTTTAGCACTAAACTTTCAAATTGTTCATTGAAATAAAACTGTAATATTGTTATCATTATTATTCAACTGATATAATATTCCCCGACAGAAGTGTTCACGGAAATAAAAATGAAGTTACATATTGATAAAGTTGGATGTTGATTCATTGGTCTAGAGGTTAAGAGATCGTGTGTGCGCACTGCTGAGGAGTTCCATACTAGAACGAAGTGGCCGTTCAGTGCTGCCAGGTTTTCGATGGTGGTTTAGCTCATATGGACTCTTGAATTCAACCGTGGAATTTCTACATTCTCCACAAATCCCCATACTGAAAATATAAATGACTTGAAAATTTTTTTGTCTTGTAATCACTGTCATAGGATAAAATAACTTTTTAAGTCACTTCAAAAGTAAATATAAATTTATCATGAATTGATTTCCCTTAGGTCTTTGGTGAGATCAAATAGAAAAACGTAGCAGTTAGTAGTTATAATTTAAGTTTTTTTCATATATCATTAATTATGCGGTGACATCATTTTATTCGTAATTTCATTTACTTCAAAATGATGCTGTTTTAGTAGTAAATTACCTAAAATACGACTCGTCAATCAGATAAATATATGAAGATATATTTACGTAAACATTCTTCTTCATCATTGAATAATATTGACTTCAGAACTGTTGAAATTCACTTGAATTTTCATTAGTTCCATGAAACACCTGTAACTTGTGAATTTTAATAATATCGGATTGAGATAAATATGAATAGATTTATTAGTGATCTTTTGTGCATTATCTCGAATAGACTGAAGTCGTTAGTGTGAACAACTGAATTCGTATTCAATAGTCTACGAATAATATGCTCAATCTAAGGCTTTAAGGATTTTGTTTTGTTAGAACATATTTCGAAGGAGTCCTCAACACAGGCAAAATAACTTCAGTGTTGTCTAGTTTTCAATAACTTCTAAGTTGATTCCATCTCTTTAACTAAAGCTGACTTTCAATTAAATAATAGTCGTAAACCCCACTTTTAGTAATAATGATCTAGTGTTTCTTGGAGGAAAAAAAGCATTACAATTAAGTAATACGTTAAAATGGGCTGTATAAAGTCATGTTTTTTTATTATCAACTATTGTCAAAGTTAGTGAAATAATACTAAGTGTTATTTCAATTTATATTGGGCTTTTTGCAAAATGAACACCTACTTTAGTTTTACTCGTTGCCAAAAGTGTGCTTTTGAACTTGTTAGCAATTTGTTTAAAGTAACACGGCTGAATTTAAATATGCTACAATGATGTTGAAGTTATCAGTACAGGGTTGTGGAGATTGTCGACTTTTAATTGAGATAAATCTCCAACTGATAATTTTCAGACCACCATTGGAAACCTGGAAGCACCGGACTGCCGTTTTGTTCTAGTATAGGATTCAGCATTGTGCATTCACGATCCCGCATGCGGGACTCGAACTCAATACCTTCAATCTCGTTACCTTTGTTCTATTTCTATTGCATGGATCTGTATTTTGCGTAAATGAAAATGTGACTTTCATTTTTCTAGTAGCTTTCGTTAGCTGGTACGTAATTATTATACTTTTCTAATACTCATTATTATTCTGCCAAGATTGGTATGTATACTTATATAAAACCTTGAGTCATGTATTTATCGGATTATATCTGGAACTATGTCATCCAAAGAAAATGAAATCGGGAATAATAAAGTAAGGATGAGTTATTAGTCAAGTATTTTGGTTTCTGAGACTATGTTTTAAAATGTTTGTTTAAAATCCAAAGGATTAATATGTCAGATTATCAATGATATCACTATGTATTTATGTAATATATGTCCATCTCCATATGTACTTTTAAGGATGCTACAATAGAACGCCGTTCTGTTGTCGATTTTGTCGTTGTATTAAACTTAATGTATATTCTTCTAGTCAAATCGGAACCAATTAACTATTTTAGCGTCAAAGGAATTTAGAAAATTTGTGATTTTTTACATAGTTTGATATTACTTTAAGATTATCGGAGTCATCAAGAATTTGATGCATTTGACCGATACCGTTTCAGATTGTTTTACCTAGTTATCTGTTTTGTTTTAAACGAGGTTCACTAACAATATACTGTGAATTTAGTTGATAAGTAACCTATTCTTCCTGATTTTTCCCACTTTTTAGTGGCAGCTGAAAGTTTTAATCCAGCCACGATAACTGATTTGGAACCTGTTGTTCATCCAAAGTCTGTAGCACAAAAACTTCGTTTAGCATCAGTCGTTAAACCAATTTTCATTTTTCGTTCATTGGATGAGGTGAGTTATGGGAAGTTTGTTCGTGCAATCCAATTTTTGGTTAAGATTTTATGACAATGCTGATTTTCAGTGAGATGAATTGCTAACAGTAGGATTTCTCAACTTTCTAATTGTTGTACAGGAAACATGAAAACAATTATTCTGATGCATCCACATAGTTAATCTCGAGTTAAACTCATAAAGAAAAATTGTTTTAATATTTGAAGTGGCACAGTGAGTATTTCCAAACATTATTAAAGTATTCGTCTGGACGTCAAGTGCTATTTATGGCCTTAATGTCTGCCTCAGGTTGTCGGCACTTTGTATTCTCTGGTATGCCTTGAAGATTCTAATTTGTAACTCGCCTTAAGATGCACTTGCGTGGTTCGCGCATAGTATGTTATATCCATCTCCATCGTCTGTTCCCGATTTCTCGTCAACTGGTAGCTGCTTTTTTTCTACAACAGTATGTTGCCACTGGTGATCTTTGGCCAATAAATTTGGAATACCTTGTGTAAACAGCTATTAATGAGTACCTGTATTTTTATGATAACAGTGATGATAGTCCTTCGAATTTTAGACCTCTGCAATAAAACTATTTTAACGTTAATTTTGAGAATTCTAAATTTGGTGTTGGCTGACAGTTCTTTTGAGTTTCGTATATTATTCTTTTGTACAAATATTGTCCTTGTTATATTGGTTTATACCATCATAGCTGCATCAGGTACTGTTTGTTTATCACTGGTACTGTCCAATTACATAAAGGGTTCCATCTCTTTCAGAGTTCACCATCAAATGTGATTTGGTTGGTCCCGACTGTTGTATATGCTGAACCCTAATGCTCCTGAAGCCGCTGCTACACTTGAATTCTTTGTATGTATGTGTGGCTACGTACGCTATAACACGGTTAAGCTATCTGCAAAGACGAAGTCATGCTGCTGTGTCTAAAGTGTCTCTTCTGTATTTTCTGCTTCTCCTAAAGTGTGGGGGCCACCATAATCCAATTGACAATCGGAAGTAAGAGTAGGCAGCCTTTGTGAGGGTAAGTGCTGCCGCCTATGACATTATTGTTTAAAGCTTACAGAACTGCCAGACACACAATATTCTCGCTTCTTTCTCCCAGCCTGTGTCACCCCTTGGTGCATTCATATCCAGTTTTGTCCATGCCGACTTTGGCATCTAGATCCTCCATCAGAATAGTCAGGTGTTTTCCTGAGTGTTTTTCTGACATGAACTACTGCCTGCCACGAAACTGTTCTCCACCATTTTCGCTGCTATTGTAAGTGGAGGCGTAGCCCTGGATGATATTCATTGTAATCCTTTCATATTTTTGGCTTTAAAGAATGCTAAGGTGAGATTCTTGTCTTATAATTGCTTTCTCCATGCTTCTTTGGAGAGTATCAGTGAAATGCTTTGCGTAGAACAAGAACTTTATTCTCCGTCTTCAGATTACAATGACAACTCTCCTGAAGTTGGTTTTTTCTGTCCAGATTGTGTTCAGTGTGTTCCACCTATTTCAAGGCGAGCCAAGTTGCATCATATTTTCGCCGCTATTTGAATGAACCTTTTAGTTTCTCGCGTTTTCCAAATATTTCATTTACCCATAATAATTGGTGCTCTATCTATTAGAAGGGGCATTGGCTCCGCGACTTCAGAAGAACCTTGGCTTTTATGATTAGGCGTCATAACTGTTCTACGTGAAAACCCTTTAACTCACAGGGCAGAGTTTGACTGGTGTGAATGATTTTTTCTGGCCAGCGTTTTTAAAGCTAGGTTTATTTTAAGTAATGGGGTTACTGACCCTACTCTCAACCATCGTCATTTACCCGTTGTCAGGACCGACAGTAGTCCCGGGGGGCTCTAGGTATAGTTAACAATCATATTCGAAACTTAATATTTCTTACCTTTCTTCTGCATTTGACTAATTATGGAAAAAATCAACTAAGGCTCATGTCTATTATCACTTATTCATCTTTAATCAAGACTGTATTCTACTCACAATAATTTATTATATTTGATAAATACTTCGTATATAAATATATATATAACAGGATTTTTTTAGGTTAGCTTGACAACATGTATATGGTTGAGCATAACACGTATGTAGTCTGTATAACATCTCTACAAATATTTTTATACTTCTTATAGCCGGAATTATAAACAGTATATTTGATGATGAACTCACACTAATTGATGTTTATTAGTTTGGACAAGTCAAAAATGTACTATATTAGAAACCACTAATTTTTAATAGCTTTCTAAGTAATTGGAGCGGAAACATACTTGACATAGCGTTTAAATGCTTGTTAGCAGTAATCTATGTTTCACATAATTGGCTTTTTAGAAAAGGAAGATGAAAAAAATATGTTTAAGAAAAGGAGATCAAAGCAAGAATTATGTGATTTACAGTTATTCATTTGTGGAAATAAAACTAAGGTTGAGCAAAACGTCTCTTGTTTGAAAATGCATTTTTTATTTTTTACTGGACATTACAGCTATCCTAGTCTTCCAATTTGTTGACTTCATCATGGCTAACCACGAATTCTTTAAAAGGTTTTTAAAACCATTTTTGGGTTTATATTGTAAAATTCTCTGATTTCCTCCTTAATAGGCAGAAACACTCAGCCTGAATTCTACTGCCGCCCACAGTCCAAATTTACTAATCAGTCAACATTAATACTGTTATCTCCTAAGCCCCGTCGAATATCACGTGAACCATAGATCGCCTATCAGAACACCTACTGATATAACCTTGACCGTGTGTCGAACCAGCATGAGTAGCCTAGAATCAACTCTGAGTCCTTATTCGTTCTTGGTACCTTGCTCTGACCGTTGAGTCCAGAACACAACCTCAGCTTCCACTGTATGAATAATGTATTTCAGACAGTTGCAATTTATAATCAAGCAAATTAGACGGTATCATATCATAAAATAGAAAGTAGCAATAATACAAGTTCGAGTCAAAAGTGGCTGTGAGTGTGGTGCTGTAACTAATAGGTTGAGAATAAATTAAGAATAGTAAATCGTACATTAATAGTCAACAGGTCAAACGAAAGCTTATGATAAAAGGAATATGAATGTACATATAATCTAGTTAATTGGCTGCACTCCAAAAGGAATATATTTAATAATAGTTCCTAGCAATTACCATTCATGTATTCTTCGTTAGGATATAACAAATTCAAAATCATATTTAATTTACAATCAAAGCAACAAGTGTCGTCTTTGGCTTTGGTATATTCATTGGGTTAGAGTGAAATGACAGCCATTATCTATGTGTTGGTTTTATACAGTCACTGATTAGTTTGGAATTTCATTTTTTTTATACATCTGTATAACATGTCACCTTCCATTAAGTAGTCACTAATAGTTTCTGAAAGGACCAAAAGGAATCTAAATGCCTAAGACTATTACTTTTTTAACCTAATAAGGTTAAAAAAAATAGATTAGGCGTTTACACAATGGTTTTGTTATTATTTAGTTAATGTAAGTAAACGAAGTGTTAACGCTGTTGATATTCAGGACTGATTTCCGCCAGTTTATATATATATATATATATATATATATATATATATATATGGGTAATGACCACCAATTTTTTTACAATTCACGACAAATAATGTATCCATTGAACAAGTTACAGAAAATCATATATCAGTAGTCTGATGGATGGCAATCTTTCCTTTGAATTGATACATACTAGATTTTAGTCCCAGTGTAAAAATTTCATACTGTAATGTAAAAACATTCAACTGATAAATACAGGACAAAACGAAATATACTACTTGGTTTCTAATTTTAATCTTTATTCAGAAGAAAATTGTTTAAGGATTTCACTATTACCACAATTAATATCAATTTTTCATACAAAATACTGCTGAACATAATTTTTACAACAAACCGGTTTAAATGTTTCAAATTAGTTTTCCTATGGATAAATTAATGATCTACTAACTTCTGATACATCCTTTCATCTATAAAAATTAAAGTTTTTCACCTGTTATCTTATAAGATTATCCTTTTTTGTTTATCCTCATTGTTAATTATTTTTTTCTTTCCTCACTTTATATTTAACAAATAGATTCAACTGAGAAGAGTAATCGATGCGATAAAAGAAACGCCTGTGACTAAAGGTCAAGTAATTATAAATCAAGGTGAAGATGGTGATTATTTTTATGTAATTGAAAGGTGAGTGTATTAAATGAGCTAAGACGCTGGAAATATAAATAGAATTTAAGGAGTAGAAAATAATATATATAGGATAAATGGGCTAGATTGCTTTACTGTTAATTTCTTATAATTAAATTGTTTATTAAGCAATCAGAAATCTTCAAATGTCTATACTGTAACGAGTTATTAGTTGGATGTAACTGACAATAATATAACACTACCATAAGGTTGTATATTCCAATATTTATTATTTTTCCGAACGAATTAGTTGTCTAACTTGAAAGTTTATTAATATTAAGAGTAAATAATGAAATTTCAGTTTTGAAAGGAATTTGGGTAGCTAAGCTTGTTATATGAAATAACCTACTGGATAAGTGAAATTCTTTAGGATAACTTTATTACCTTTGAAATGGAATGGTAATCAAAATGAAATTTAAGTTAACAAATGTAAGAGGGATATTGCAACAAGTTTCTCATTCACGTACCACTTTAGAAGACACATATAATTATAAAAAAATGCAAATAAAATTAAAATTTTCTAAAGAAATACAAGAACTATCTTCAAACACCATGGTTTTTTGTTCGCTCTTGTTTTATAGCTTTATCATTACTTAATATACGGCATTATTAAAGATTTTGAATTGTTTGAGGATAGATCCAAGTGGTCATTAGTCCTGTTTTCTTTAATGATAGACATGGACGAAGTTGCATGTGTAACGAATGGTTTGTATTTGATAAAATAACACCTTTTAGTTATTTTGAAGATCTTAAATAACTATTCTTAATCATGTTTATAATAAATATAAAAGATCAGTACCGACACAGCCCATAGTTTTCAAGGTGCTAGGTAATATAACAGCATAGTATTTCTCAAATGTAGAGAATAAATAATGAAAAATAACATACTGTATAGTTTATTTTATCAGTTCATAAGATCAGTACGATTCTACTGAACGAAACTAAAACCATCCTGTAATTTCCTACTTATTATCAGTTGTGCGATGTCGTTAAGTTTAGATTTCTGAACATAAATAATTAATGTTTGCTAGGCTTTAGTGAGGGTATCAGTTGGACATTTACGTTAAGTGCTGATTTTATAATCGTACACATAGGTAATACAACCTATTAAAATTAAATATCATTACATTTATGAAGAGAAATTTCAATACTTTCGATCAAAGTTTAGTGTAATTAGAAACTGGTTAAGGAAATTTGTTGCTGTTAACCGTTTCATTATGTACTATCCCTATTTATAAAATGAAATAACTTCACAATGAAATTTATAATTATCATTGTTCAGATCGAATATTAATAAAAATAAGGTGAAAAATGTCTAAATTAAACTCATTAATTTTAATTTATAATGTGTACTGTATAAAAACGTTGTTGGTTGTTTATAAAATATACTTTTTTTGTCTTATGAATGTTTATAAATAACGGACTGATTCAATTAATGTGCATTAATTTGATGTGTATATATTTCTGTAAATCTTACTTAATAAGATGTAATCTATTATCACTGTACATATTTTGAACTGTATCAAAATGCATATGTTTCTTAGATTAGATTACTTAATTGTTTAAGAATATTCTATATATGCAATTGGTAGAATACAACGAGATTAACTTGGAGTTCATCCACAATAATAAATAGGACTTATGGGATCAAGTTTCTAAACGATTTGAATACGTAAATGAAGAGCAAGAATTTATCGATTCGAGTTAGTTTACATCACAAACTGTATTTAACCAGACATTTAGTGAAACCAAAAAGAATTAAACAGTATGAAATCCACAGATTGAATAGTTATCTTTAGTGCCGTTTTAGGTATGAGGGCGGTTATCACGTCCCGGTTGCCCACCGTGGAAGGGTTCTTCTGGAGGTACCTGTAAAAGAAATTGGATTAAAGGTGGTCCTAGTGACCTGAGAGCGTGACTGCAGTGCTCGAGGGACAACTTCTTGAAATCGGTCACTCACGACCTTTTTGTGGGTAATTTTCGTGTTAGCTCTGTACTTGTTGAGACATTACCTCCGGAGACGGATATCCATGAGATAAGGCGAGGTGTGCATTTTTAGGGTCGACTTTTTCTAACCCGACCCCTCCTTGTGGGAAGGCAGCATTACTGTTATGCTGGTTGTATGAAGGAAACTTTACTTCCATCACACCTCTGTACAGTCAGCAGTACGACTGCTCCCTCAGACCTTGGGTTTGCTGCTTTTAGTCTTATCGCTCTTCAACTGATCTGTCTGGCATAATAAGACATTGAGGAACAGTTGTTCCAGCCAGTATAGCTCGGTTGCTTCATGACGATAGGCAAGCCCGACCACCACGTCAAGGTAGCAACAACGGCCATGACAGATTGAACTAAGGATTTTCATGTCTCACAATAAGTATAAAACCTTTTAATCATTATTAGTTCATTCTTGAAATAACTTTTAGTTAAATAAATTATGCAAACATGTGCTGAAAAGTAGAGTTATTCAACTGAGATACTTGTAGATAGATCACAGTTGTTGTTAAATTCATACATTTTCCCCCGAATATTTTGTTTAGAATTGATTTGTGTATTTATCTTTGCATTGCATTAATAATAGTAATAGCTTTAGTGCATTATCAACTCACAAATATTTCTATAAATTTTTTCTTAATTATAAACGTGAATAAAGAAAGAACAAATATTTTAAGCAGTGTAAAATGAATTCATTTATTTTATCTTGGATTTTTCCCAGCTGCTTACAACGTAAAACCATAGTATTAATCACTAAGAATGAAACAAGCATACGTGTACATTATATCAAAAAACGTCTTAGATAAATTTTGCTGATATTCTGCTACAATATTTATCCTTTATTTAAACTCAAAATAATTTGTTAGTGTTATAGCTGAGCTTTTGGAATGAATTATAGTAGTAATTCGTTTACGTTGGTTTGCATTTTTCTGTTGTGTAATAGTAGGATTCACTATCAGATAAATTCTCCTGTGAAACTAAGGTTTTACTAATGTTACACTATGCTACCCGCAATGTAATACACCAAATAATGCCAGTTACAATATTCACAGGTATAATTTAATTCTTTATGCCTTTGATCTAACAGTATAAAAGTATTTTAAGGCACCGTTTATATGTAACTATTTGTATGTATTCATTTGTATCTTCCTTAGAAATTGATTACTAATTGTTTTAACAAAGTTTTGATGTGTTATGTCTCCGAATTCACTGAACACTATCAGTTCTGTAAACTAATGACATGGTCGTCAACTTAGCTTATAGTTAATTAAATATATTCATATATTCATTTATCGTAACTAGATATTATCATGTTTTCTCGTTAATTAGATTACTAATCTGTATAGGTAAAGCTTCACCATGTTTTTTTAATTCTGTTGATATGTTGTTAGTGATAGTGTTTCTGTGACTAAATTATTTGTTTGTAAAAGAGACTTTTTCTATTTGTGGTTTTGTTAGATATGTATGAGAAAATATGTACATTAAAGTACTTTGTTTGCTCATAAGGAACAAACTGGTTTGTTTCCATTTTAGTGGAGACTATGATATAATCATAAATGGGAATATAGTAGGAAGTTATGCTGGATCGGGTTCCTTTGGAGAATTAGCACTTATGTATAACACTCCTCGAGCGGCTACCATTATAGCGAAAACAGATGGTGTATTGTGGGCTTTGGATCGAACAACGTTCCAACATATAGTTTTGCGACAGGCATTTTTAAAGCGTCAACTTTATGAGAACTTGCTATCTTCAGTTCCGCTTTTAGGGAGCTTAAGTGCATACGAACGTACTAATTTGGCGGATGCACTTGGGAGTCATACCTATGAAGATGGGACGTGCATTATTCAAGAGGGTGAACCAGGAGAAGAAATGTACTTTATTGAGGAGGGATGTGTTGTAATTTCTACCAAGAATTCTGTAAGAAATATTTTCATTATTTGTTTATTTTGTTTATCAATATTAATAATTTGTCCTTTATGTAATATCACTGAATTAAGTTTTCTATAATGTACGATATTCCGATTACCATATCTTACTTTTTCTCTGGTGGATTGATTTTTTTTCAGAATACACAAATTATTTGTTTCTTCTAACACCATCTACAGGTAGCTAGTTTTAATAACTAGCGATATATGTTTAACGCCATTTTTATTATTTGATTGTTCATAATAACAACTTATCAGTTGCTTTAACGAAATAAATAGTCATGCAAAAATGTTCCATTCTTATTGAGATACTAATGACGCCATTATTTACAGGTTAAAAAGTTAACGATATGTCCCATAATAACTTATTAAAGTTCGGTAGATATGATAAAATAAATTTGAAATAGTAACCATATCGGAGAAACGTCATGAAAATAAATCTATTCGGGTTTAACAACGTGACAGAGAAAGGATGTGGTTTGTAAAAATTACAAGTCACGAGCATGTAGAAGGATTTTATTTTCATACACAATATGAGTTTTCTATATGTATAAAGCAAGGAGATCACCAATACAAAATGTCAAATGAATATGTACTATCTCTTTTCTTCCTGGTTTCTATTTACCTTGCCAATGATTCAGAGTGATAAGTCTCTTTTCGTTGAATAACCCGTGTTCATGTGATAATTTATCATTGTAACCATCGCTATGCCCTTTTTTCCAACCTGTCACAAACTCTCTTTTTAGTTTCTGGACTAAAATAACAGATTTTTGTGCTTTTTATTTCATTCGGAGGATTGTTGTTATTAACGAACATATTTTACATTATCATTATTAACAAAGAATATGTATGTATTTAATTGTACGGCTTTGGAAATAAAATCATTGGAAAGCAATATTTTCGTTAAACAACTAAATATTAGACAAAAAAATGTTTAAGATAATTAAAATTTACTATTCTTTACTTCTCAGTTTCATTTAGGCGACTGGTATAATTTCAATATTTAGAACATCAGTAGCTTATCTTTTATTGAGGTAGGGAATTATAATTATTGATTATCTAAAGTAGTCAATAATTAACATAGTTCAACTGTGTTTTATCTTGGATAAAGAATACACTGATGCTGTATTAATTTAGCCGTCAGTTTTATCGCACAAAATCAACGTTTGTAAATCGTTTTGATTAGTTAAAGAAAAAATGATTTCTACTTATTCTGTTTAATAATTAGGCTGAAAAGTGGGCTATTTTATTTTATAACTAACCAATTTTTTTAGTGCGGAAATATGTATAATCTTCATCCGTATGGTGTTTATCTAAATGTTATGTAGACCTCGAGAAAGTTGGTTTTGAAGTTTGTAATTACCACTAAAAAGATTGGACTTGATATATTCAGATAAATTAGACACTGACTAGATTGTTTATGATAATATATCTGTTTTAAAAATTGTTTTTGATCTTGAATTCAGAACTACTAAATGTGATTGTATAATATCCTATGAATTTCAGATACCATTGTCATATTTATAAAAGAGAGAATTGTCTTGAACATTGGCTGTGATCTATGACATACCAGCAACTAGCTGAAATACAAACGACTTTCACATCATATATGATTATAAAAAAAGGAAAACCAGTAGGGAGTTTTCTTGTCGAAATCTAGCACAATTTAAAATTATTCTTAACACAGAGTTTAGTTGTATTATGTATGTAGCATTTATTTGAATTCATCTTCTTTATATTATTGTTAAAATAATAGTTTTTCAATACTATATTTTAATGAATTTAGAAGTGTAAATACACTCAGAATCTTAATAATAAACTTCCATAAGTAATGTATTTGAAAAGACATATTCGTTACATTTTGTCAGTACATAATGTCATTTTACAATTTTCCTATTTTGTACTCAATGTGTTTCTGTTAGCTAATAAATTAGTTTTCGTAAGGATACAAATAATGCCAGTTTATCTCATATCATATTCTCATATATGTCAGTATTGGTAACTATACACAAAACTTATTTGATGCTTAACTTAGTTCTGGTAATTCAATGACGGATATTATTGTATAGAAGGTTTGACAGCAAGCCTTTACTATATCACTCATTCAATTATCTATACTAAGTTAAATGAGACCCCATATTAAGCGTTTTTTTCGCAAACTCATAAAACGTGGTATCATTGCTGTTACAAGGTTGTTAAGCAATGTACAATTACAGTAGAAAACTGATTTGGTTAATTATAATGAAATTGTAGCTCAGCTAGATAGGGTGGTGCATTATATACCGTTGCTCAAGAGGACTATCTAAATTGTTTGCTGAATAAAAGTGATTTGGCGATTTAAGTAACTATTTCCTCACGTGACAAAAAAAACAAAAGTTTCATTTATTCATAATTTATGATGATACTATATGTTTCTGTAGGGTACTGTTTCAGAGAACCTGAGAATTCTGATTGTTACAAGATTAATCATTAAGATTTATAGTCTGATATTCAAAAATAACAATCAATGCGAATATCTTTTATAAAACCGTTTGTGAATTGTTTCTTCTATTTATGAAGAAATACACGGAAAAAATCAATTTGTTAGCGATTCAGTATCTGTTCTTATCATGGAAAATAGTTTACTTATTTTGAAAAAAGTTTAAATAAATAAGCAAATATTTCTAAAAATGCAAATAGGTTAAAATTTTATTTCAGTGGGAAAAAAATCCTACTGAGTCTTTACTTTTTTTAATGAGTTTAACTACATTAATAATGTAATTTTTTCACAAATAGAAAGGAGAGGAAATCGTACTCAAACAGCTGCACAAGAATGATTATTTTGGTGGTACGTACATTATTGTATTATGTTGCAATTTAATGTTGATCATTTTCTAGTACTTTTCTTAAAATCTGAATAATTTTTTGTTATGTATTAAAACGTCAATATAATATGTTTGAACACTTATATCGATAGAGTACATTTGGTGATAACTTGCATCAAAATATACAGCTAATCACTAATCAAGCATGTTTATATTCTAAAAATGTCGTGGTTCTTTTCAAAGACGTAGCTGTATGTTTTTTAAATATATCTATAGGTGTGTAAATGTAGCTTAGTTAATTTGCTGATATTCCGTTAAATATTTACATTAATGATTAAGGTATTGGTTTTTCTGTTAGCCTATAGTAAATTTTATTTACAATTGACTGAGGATTTTTCTAATAGGATCCAATCAATGGGAGTTGTGATAGACTGAATGCCCGTCACACAACAACAATTCGACGTTAACAATCTACATGCCAATAGAGAAGACGAAACTGAGGATAAATTTATTTTCCATACAGAAGTCATATTTAAAAAAGAACAACTTTTTACTGTAACACTTAATGACCTTGAGTCACGTAACAAAATAATCCAAAATGCGTTTCACAACCAATCAACTAACAGCAAATGGTCTTGAGAAAAGATCAATTAAGGAGATGTCATCGTGATTATCCTTTAAAAATGAACCTACATGTGTTTATAAATAACTAAATAACTTGATCTCTTTCTAACAAAATGTCCCAAGGTTCACTGTAACAATAGTATTTTAGACAGAAAGCTTTCGGTATTTAGTCTCTATTTATTGAATTGATAAGGTACACTTTCATTCATTACAGATTCATTTATAATTCATATTAGTTAAATAGTGTGACTTTGTGCGGACAAATTTATTGTATCTTCACACTAGATGCATAATATGCTAATAAATTTTATTTTCTGAAGCTTATGACCAGCTTGTGATTTATATTATTCTACAGTTTTCCTTTCAGAGAAGTCTTTACTTGACTCTACAGACTTGTTTATACGAATCAGTTTTTTAAAATATTTGACTTCCCTAATGTAATTTCTGATAAGGTTATAATAAATAATATTTTTTTTTATCTTTTTCAAATAGAATTAGCGTTAATTTTACATGAACCCAGGAAAGCCTCAGCTCGTGCTGTTGGTAGAACTAAACTTGCAGGTCCGTGAATATTTCAAGTCTTGTTGGTCTATATATGTTTTGATTATTCTGAAAAAACATTTTTACTGTCTAGCAAGTTTATAATTTCAAGGCTTTATCAAGTAGTCAATAAATGAATGTTCTTATGGTAATTTAGTTGTATGATGTATTTATTTTTCTAAAGACATTTTTAGGCATATTCGATGTTCAATAAATCATAACTAATAAAATTGTCAAGGTCTACCTCACAAAGAGATACATGACTAATAAATCTCTAACATCCATTTGAATGCTTCAAAACTGTTCCCGAAAGTTTATTTAGACAAACAATTTCTTTTATAAACCTAGTTAGTGGAGCGTAAACTGTTGGATGATTATCAATAGCTATTCTATTATTTAAAGCTTATGTATTTTAACTTAATGTATGTATGTATTATTTGCTGAACTTCTAATTGCCATGTTGGCTACTGATAATGCTTAAAAACATTTAGTCCCACAAGTTTGTATGCTTGCAAACTCTGATTTAAAAAAAAGTAATTTCAAACTACATCACTTAACATCAATATAATGTAGATATTAATGCACTAACAAATGTTAGAAAGTGAAATATACTATGTTACTTAACCGTTCTCAGTCAGTTTATTAAAATTTATGTCAGTTTTCATATTTTCTCTTTGCTCGTTTCGTTGTGTATGGAATTTGCAAAATATTTATCTCTTGAGCTATTCTCTCAAGATCCTCTTTCTTTCCTTTGTTAGTTCTGGATGTATCAAGTTTTGAACGACTTATGGGACCATGTATAGAAATTATGCAACGTGAAATGGGACGTTATCGTACTCAATTACTTGAAACTTTGGGACCAGATGATATACGTAATAATCCTTCATTGGCAAAATTCGTAGAATTCGAACAGTAATTTCAAAAAAAAGAAAATACGAATATGTCAACTATAATGAATTATGAAAACAAACTACAATTGTCTGTTCTCATTCATTTCTTCATATAGATGTTTTACGTAAATGATCGTATTCTCAATGTTTTGTTGATGAATTTCTGTATCTTTCATGAATATAAACGTTTAACGTTCTCACTGTCTTTTTACAATATCTGTAACGTGATTATTCTCACTATTTACACATACATTCAATTATCGAATGTATTTTAAAAAAAACTGATGTCTATTATTATTATTATTATTATTATTATTATTCGTACAATATCATATTGTAGGCATATTACACTAATTACTTCAAATACTACTTATAATCATATACTACTTTCATACAAATTCCATGATACACTTCACAAAATAGTTTGATTAATGAGCTTTTCATTATTATTATTATTATTTTCCTAATAATTTAATAACCTTTATCAATTCTCGTATAATGTAAATAATTAATTGATGATTGGGTTCTTTTTTTACTTGAACTGATGTGAAGAAAAAATAAAACAGATGGTGAAAATTAATTGAAGAAAAAGAATTTCTCCATTAAATAATAAATATAATTGATCATTTAAGAAAAAAAGAAAAAAAAGAAAAGAAAAAAGAAGAATTGAAAAGAATTTCATCGCATTTCATTCAATCAGTTAATACTTTACTTGTACACTTAAATTTATTTAGTAAATTGAAGATAATAACAGATGAAAAATTATTATATTTATTGACAATTATTATTTATTACTGTTTATAGTTCATATTAATTTAGTTGTATTATCATTCACTTTACAGTGGTTGTTGTTGTTGTTGTTTATTTAGTTGACATTATGATTATATATTTTAATAAAATGAATACAATAATAATAATAATAGTAAAATAATGTACTTTTGTTGAATAATGAATAAGTATTCATGGTATTTATTTCCACAGTACATACGTATACAACTATGATCCTGAAGTAAACTTTCTCTTATTTTGTTTTCTTCCATGCTAACTATCATTCATGTTTAGTGTGTGTGTGTGTATGCGTATGCATGGTAATGTTTGTACTACCTCTTTTTCTTTTATGAAACAATGTTTGCCTTCTAGAGTGTTTATAGTTTATTCATTTGTAAATGTACAACTATGAATAGATTTTATGCAGTTCTATATTTTGCTGATAGTTGAAAATTTTCTAATCCAACTAAAAGATACTTTATATCATTTGTGGTAAAGTTATTATTTTATTTAGTTGTTTTTTTTAAGTAATGATATATATATGTTCGCTGTGTGTTATTTGTTATTAGAATCCTTCATGTTTGTAGTGAAATAATAATCAGATAATTTCAATCGATTATGACTTCATTGATTTCTTTATTTCTATCAGACTACACATCAATAAAAGAGAAATACTTTTTGACTGTTGATTTAGAAAATACCGAAATGTTTGAAGTGACGTATTTAGAATTGATGTTTGGAAAGGTGCATATATATATACAATTTAAGAAAATATATTGGCTTTAATATGAAAGCCTAAACATCCAATACAAGTAGTTTCATCTCTATTATTCTTTTTTTGGTTGGGGGATAAAACCTCTGTCTTACAATCTGTAAATTGCTTTAATGATTACAATTTCTTGGGCAATGATTTCAATTTTTTTCTGATCATAGTAATTACCTATTACATATGATCAGGTCAAATTTTGAGCTGATTCATATGGCCTATAATAATCGAATTATAAAATAAAGCGAATCTGGTTCAGTGAAACCTCATATTTTAGAACTAGCTAGATATAGTATGTTATAGTACTTAAAATTGAGACGAACTTTTAAGTTTGAAATATAAATTTAAGTTTAGTTTTGCAGGAGATATTTACAACGTTCACAAGTAGATTAGCATATATCATGTCCACTGAGCTTGCTAGAAACATTCATTTATAAATAAGTATATTGGCGTTTTTATTCCCCTGAAAATTAAAAAATAAAGTAATTTTAAACCCTAACGTTAACTAATTAATTCATCATTATCACGATATGTATTCAGCAATATGTAAATTTTTGTGTTTAAGCCTAACAAAATCAAGAAACACGTTCCAATTTTACAATCTACTATAAAAAACTTCAGTGCGCTTAGTGAGACTAAATGAGACAACAAAACATACAGTATTGTCACGTAACCTAACCTAACTGTGAGGACATAAAATATGAAAGGTTATCGGTCTGTTTGTTTGTTGAAACAATGTTTAAGAATGAGAATGTGACACAAGAATTAATCAGGACCGGGACATTGTCACAATAAGTTGCACCATAAATTTAACGATATTTTTTGACAATTTACACAACATTTTGAAGATCTCTGAGTAAAAATCACACGACGAGCTTCAACACATTTAAATTGAATGAGACTGGAAGTGAAAATATATTTAAGGTGAATTTGGGAGTGATTTATTCAAATGATTATCTGTTTACTTCTGAATTCACAGGTTCAATTCAAGCGTTTTGTTGACAATAGATCTTACAAAATGTATAAAATTCTACTTTTGCTTGGAAAGCATTTCAACTGACTTTATAATTTTGACACTAATACAATTAATTTTAAAGCAAATCCACTTGTAATAGCTATGTGAACAGGGTCATATTAGGTGCTTTGAAATTTGTATGTGAACCTTTTGTTTTCTCAAAATTGACGTACAACTAGATAATGTGCAGAATAGAGCTCTCTTAGTAACAAACAGTTGTTCTTGGTTACTGATGATTTTGTGAGTCACATAAAAAACGCGTTCTATAACAGAATAGTCTAATTATTGTTTAAATAAAGCTTTTTGATTTTCCTTGTTTTAATGAAGTTATATTCGTGATTTAAGGCTGGAAGCTTTTTTATAGGAAAAATAATGTTTGTTTCCACGCCTTAAAGAAACGTTTACTGCAGATTTAGAAATACCAGATTTGTTTGATGTCTATTACATAATTTTACAATTTTATTTACAACTTTCCTGTTTTGTAAGTGATTTCCTTTTACTAATGGCAATTATTTGCTTTCTGTCTTCTAGAAGATCTAAATGCTGCCGTCAATCTTCAATAAACGTTTGAAAATATTTGACTCAATGTATGCTGATAAGTAAATGTGGAATTGTAGCTTGTAAAAAAGAATATTCAGTTTAGAATAAAATAAGTTCCAGTTTTCTCGACCTTCAAAGACTTTTTATAAAATAACACTCGCCAGCGCATAATAAGTAGATTAAGGTCTTCCGTTTCATATAGAAAAATGAATTATTTTTACTTCGGATTATAATATTTTCATTCCGTCTATTCACCTTAAGATACTGTTTTCAAGGTGTTAGAATTTTCACTGGTTGACCAAGATTTACTCAGTGCAGATTATTGGTTTCATATAAGTTCATATGTTCTATTTAGAGCCACATATTGTTTGTGTACAATGATGTAGTTCCTTGATTGAAACATCTGGTTGGTTTGTCAATCTATAGGTCACTACATGACTGATAATTTTAGATCATTTTGGTTTACAACACAACGATCATAAGCTGTTGTATTATTTCAAATTTTGATTTTCGGCTGTAAAAGTAGTTAACAGAAAACCACAATTGGATTCAACTTGCAGACTTTATAGACATTTTATCTTTTCAAATGTAAATATTTGTATCTTGGGTTATATTTTCAGATTCAAATTTCTAATTTATCAACTTTAGGAACATTTAGGCTGGCTACGCAAATATTTGAGTATGTCCATTTTAACTACTTGCAAGTAACACAAATACAGTAACCAAAATAGGTTATGTAGTCGGTCGATTTCATGAATCGATCGACGTTAGACCACCATTGAAAACCTATGAGCACTGAACGGAAATTTCTTCTTAGTATGGGACTCCTCAGTAGCGCGTATGTACGATCCCGCAGGCGATATTCAAACACAGAACCTTCGGTCTCTCAGGAGAACGCTTATCCTTCAGACTACTGAGCTTTATCAGATTTCGTCAAAGTTAATGAAAGATTGTGTGAAATTATAATCCCATAATCATACAAGTAATATATAAGTGCGTTCTTGAATGATTATCCGGTGTTAAAACCCTGACTACTGCCCGTTACATTTGTTTTCCAAATACAGAAGTCTTTACCAATTAATCACTTTTTCGAGCGTGAATTGAAATGTGACAGCACTATGATGAATCGTGTTTAATCTAAATTTCAAACTCATTAAGGATATATATGCCTTAAATCCTCAAGTGCTACGGCGAAATTTGCTTTCATAATGTAGAAGAAAATTTATTTACGGTATTCTATATTTTAGCTAAAGGTGGATGAATTATGGTCTTGTAAAAATGAATTGTTTGACGTTAATTTATCTTCCTAGAAACTTTCCGAAACTCTATATTGACAACTAAATGAGTTTATGCAGGAAATTTAAGAAAACAACTTTAAATAAGATATATTCATGACAAATGTTTAGGAATATAAAAATAAGTCTACCAGTGAAATGAATGTAAATATCATATATTTGTATATTACCGTTATAGTGTAACTGATGATTAACATGCTAACAGGATCGCACGTTACTGAGTTCTTGATTAATAAATACTTTTTCACTTTTTGTAACAGAAATCATAAGTAAATGTTTTTCCGTTTTTCTCAAATTTTTTAAATTTTTTCCTGTCTTATTGTTTCCATTTTTACTTTGCTGAATTTTTTTATGCCAAGGTTATTTTTGGCTACTATAAATATATATGTGATGTCATTAAGCTTTAATTTTGTTTTCACTTAATGTGTGATTCCTTTCTGCCTTAGTTTCTGGTTCCATCTTTGTGGATTATTGCTAAAGAGTTATGTGCGCCAAAATATAGATGCATAGCCATATTCAATCTGATGTTTATATATTACCACCATTTGTAGTTTGAGGACAAATATATAATCTATCCATTCATAACAAGTGAAACAGAATATTGAATATCTTTGATTCAAAAACGTTAGGTGATTTTAATACTGACAGTTCATTTTATAAACAGATATATCCTAGATTTTGGACACATGAAAGTGATTGAGATAAACAATGTATTTGCCTAACAATAATCATAATAATAACAATAGTAATAATGGCAATAATAATAGTGTGCTAACATAGGGAAAACAAATTTTGAGCACGAAATTTGATAAAATCCTATAGGGAATATAATGCCGATAGATGAATAAGAAAAAAGCTTCTAGCTTTCTAATCCAATTTTATATGTTGACGATAATTTTGCTATT